AGGCGCGTTTTATGCACGTTTTTTTGTCCAATGAAACGCGCGTTCGACGCTCGTTTTTTAACCTCCCTGGCGGTATGAATTTTTTTTTCCTTTTTTTTCCTCTGTTTTTCTAAAAAAACTTTTTTTAACTCCCCACTGGTTCCGCCTCCCTGTGACGCGGACGCTCGCAAGGGACGGAACCCGGAAGACGGCAGCGGCCAGAGGACACAGCGGGGATCGCGGACAAGGTAAGACCTACACTGTATTCCCGAGTGTGGCTCGGGGTTACCGCTTTGTTAACCACGAGCCACACTCGGGAATACCAATGGATACACGCTGAAATCCGCCCCAAAGAAGCTCCTGTACTATTTTGGGCGTTTTTCAGCACGTCAAAACATGGGCATGGGAACCATGCCCATAGGAATTAAAAGGAATTAATAGGATTTCACTGCTTGAGCGTTTTTCAGCGCTTTGATCAGCGCTGACAAACGCCCAGGTGTGAACCCAGCCTAACAGGGACACAAACAGAAATAAAAAAAGTGTTCTAATCCCTCTCCACGTCATCCAAAACTAAACAAAGTTTTGGCTTCAATTGCACTTATAAAATAAATAGCAGTATTTTCTTGCTGTTAAAAAACCATCAAGGCAGCGACTTTTATTTAGTTATGCATCATACTCTGGCTACCTACTAGTCAGTTTGTGAAAACATTTACAATATTCTAAGTGATGCAAGGCACATTAAAAAGGTAGCAGTGTAATATTTACAGGATAAATCCATATGTTAGTGTTAGTCCATATGGCATGTAGGAAATGGAACGAGTGCCTGTGAATACACGTTGCAGAGTCCACCTGGGAGCATTTTTGCCTTGGGACAATATTAAACAACATGACATGGGTGGAGATGCAAGTGCAGGCAGAAGTCTAATCTAGATCTCAGTCGTAGGTACTTTTTATTTTGAAGCTGGGCTCTAACTGCTTTATTGTAGTACACGTATGTTCCTCATTAAGACAAATCACTTAGGTGCTACGTTGATAGATGTTTAGGCTCTATTGTATTTATACACTGTCATAATTTTCTCGTTCAACCTGAGAGTGCCTCCTGTGAAAATAGAAGGAGTTATAAAGTCCCAGCATAGACTATCCTGTTATAACATCAGCACTGTAATAGGAATACATACTAGAGTTGTTTTTCATAATACAATCAAAGCTCACTTTCACTTTCAACAACTTCCGGGATTCCCAGTGGGTTTTGCATCTCTTTCCCTACTGCTTGATGTGATGTAATCACAAAGACTACGTATCCCATCATGCATTGTTTCCAGCAAGCAATAATAATATCACATTGTACAGACGTTGACTAAGGGCTCAGTCACACTAGATGCAGTGCGTTCCGGCCCGATTTTGGCCGGAACGCACTGCCTTGCATTGCGACCGGCTCACTTTTTAGTGGGTAGGAGGGGGCGTGGCGGGCCATTCAAGTGAATGGCGCTGTAGCCACGCCCTCCGGCCGCAATGCGGTCCGCCGCACGGGGATCGCAAGGCACATTGTGCCCGCGGTCCGAACCTGTGCGGTGCAATCAAAATGCTACAAGCACTATTTTGATCGCATTGAACAGGGCCGGACCGCAGGCATGTGCCTTGCGATCCCGTGCGGCGGATCGCATTGCGGCCAGAGGGCGTGGCTACGGCGCCATTCGAACTTTAGAACATGGAAAAAGTTCCAAATCGAACTTAAACTCAATCAAGTCTATGGGGCTAGAACTTTGGAAATCAATTGAACCCATTTTGAAGCCTTATATGCAATTTATTGGCCATAAAAAGGGCATGGGGATTAGGGTACTGCCCTGGGGGACATGAATGTGGGGGAAAAAAATAATTAAATACCGTTTTTAATGGAGCAGTAATTTTAACATCACTTAAAGTGAAACAATAAAAATGAAAAATTCCCCTGGAAAAGCACCTTGTCCCTGTGCCGATGGGGACAAGGGCCTCTTCCCCACAAGCCCTGGGGCGTTGGTTGCGAGGGTGCAGGCAAGGGGGCTAATTCACATCAGGGTACTCCTTTAATAAAGGGGCACCCAGATGTACCCCTACCCATTCACTAAAGGGTTAATTAAAATTGTAAATGAAAAGAGGCCACACTTTTGAAAACATTCTTTATTTGAAAAAACGAAAACAAAAGATGGAACCGATGTAATCACGATGACATCAATCACGATGTCCAGCGTTGTCCACGACGGTGATGACTCGACTAAATAAAAAATAAAACAATAAAAAGTAGATAGAAATAATAATTAAAAAGACGACCGCCATCGCGTCCGCTCGTGACAGACTCCCGCGGCATGTAATTGTGACAGATGCCGGCAACATATAAACAAATAGGAGGAGCTGGCAGTGACAGCTAGCTCCGCCCAACTGTTTACAGTTGTACGGCATCTGACAGGTGAGCCATGATTGGGCAAAGTCATCATGACTTTGCCCATTCATGGCTCTAAAGCTGGCCATACACTTTACAACAATCGCACGACTTGAGTCGTGCTATGGTTGTTAAGTAATTAAAAGCTCGTACGATCTGCCCATCTTGGACAGGCAGATCATACTTGCGATCATCGAAAGCCCGCCCCGCTGAGGCGTCCTCACATCTATTGCAGGTGAATAGACTGCATTAGACCTGATTATGTCACAGGTCCTTATACCGCCAGAGCCTGGGGAAGAAGAGGTTGCAGGGACCGGTCTAGCAGCCAGGTGGGACTGAGGATCAGGAGAGTATATCTACTTTAATCCAGCACCTAGACCAAAACAAGCAGTTAACCCTTGCAGTCCGCGGGTAGCCTCATCTGAACGCCGACACGCTGTATTTTGTAACTGCCGTGACAGGAGAAGTATTGGTGATTTGTAAGGGTATGGCTGCGATTGTAACGGTGGCTGGGGGAGGTCTTTAAAGAGACCCTGTCACTTTGCCCTGAATGTGCAAGGTGAGAGGTTCTCTGGCAGGACTTGCATCTATTTACAGGCTTTTCTCGCTTGTTAATAGATACGCTACTAAAATGTGTAACCATATGAAGATTCCAGAAAATGCATGTTTTAAAAGGTTGTCAGGCTTTAGTTTTGCCTGTGGTTCCTGTCTTCTGAAGAAATACATAACATAATATTACTTGAGCAATAATGACACGTTAGTATACCTTGTGGGTAAGTATTAGCAGGCTGCTTGCAGGCAAGATATTATCTGCTGACAGTGATTACAAAACCACCTAGTCATTTTAGCATGCTTGCTATCTTTGTAGTTGCTATCGTTGCTATCTGTACAGAGGACACCGCATACGAGTACCATAGTATACACACACATCACAATCTGAGAATACAATTCACTAGATTTAGTAGAGTATCTACAACGTGTTGAGATGCGTGTATGAATAGGTTAGAATTTTGTCAATAAAATAAAAAACAATTGTTTGACCTGGAATTTATTTTTATTAGGCACAATTGTGTTTTATTGTGTATTTTACTATAATTGTACAGTTGTACAGCATGTTGTCTGACAGCAAGTAATTTAAATGACTATCTTGATGAGCATTCAGTATTAAACTGACTTCACACCTACAGTATATATAATAATGTGCAGTAACCCAGTGTTAAAAATGTTTTTTTGTGCTTTGCTCTTACAATTGGGGGAATTTACTAAAGCTGGCCATACACCTATAGATTATCTGTAGATTTTCTATGGTCTAATGGAAAAAGTGCAACAGATTCCTCCATCTACGCCAAACTGTGTGGATGGAGGACTCTCCCACTGGGCCAAGCTCAGTATGTTGGCTGTCAAAATACCTGAACAATCTGACTGGATGCAGGCATTGTTCAGGTATTTTGAGAGCCTGCTGGGCCAACTGTGACAGCTGGCCGGCTGCGTGTATCTTATTTTTAAACCTAAACAAAAATAAGCACTTAACCCTTGCCGTGCGAGGGTAGCCCCACTGCAAGGGTTAATCCGTCTTCCGGGTTCCTTCCCTACGAGTACTGGCATCGCAGGGGGCGGAACCGGTGGGAAATTTAAAAGTGAAAAATAGAAAAAAGAAACAATACAATACTGACATAATCAGACCGCCAGGGAGGTTAAAGGCTAAGTTCACCTTTCTAACCATGTTTTATATTACACCCATAATCAGGGTATGTAACATGAAACATGTTCACATCGCAAACGCTACATGCTACATCCCACTCCCCCCCATTTACCTGAAACGTGGGTTTTTCTCTTTTCATTTGCAAACATGGCACATAATCCATTAGCAGAACGTTTGACAGGATCCATGAATGGAAAAACAGCCGAGGGACTTGTAGTTCTCAGTGGAATACGAGTGAGGTGACATCACTACACTTGTAGTGCATTCATTCGTCCTCCTGTCCATGTTATTGAATGTCATGAGTATGGATAGGGACGGAAGGGAGAATCTGCAGCAGCCAGAGCAATCCACTGATTGCGGTTGCAATGCTTTACTAGTTCTATGCAAAACAAAAACGCAAATTTTTTCTTTTATGAATGTGTGTGCATTTATTATTTTAAGGTGGACTTTACTTTTAATAGCATATCTACAATTAACAGATACTTAAGCTGGCCAAACACCGGTACATTATCTGCAGATTTTTTATGGTCGTATGGAAAAAGTGCAACAGATTCCTCCATCTACACTAAAGTGTGTTCAGGTATTTTGAGAGCCAGCGGGGCCGACTAGCAAGATACTGAAGCTTGGCCCAGTGGTAGCTTCCTCCATCCACACAGTTTAGCATAGATGGAGGAATCTGTTGCACGTTTTCCACCTAACCATAGAAAATCTGCAAATAATCTATAGGTGTGTGGCCAGCTTTAGGCTTGAGAGAATTTGCTGTAGCAGAAACTTTGGAGGACATGAATGTCTGTTGCGAGTCCATGGAACTGCAGGACTCCTGAGAACTCCACCAGTGCCTAGAAAGTTAATAGCATTTTATATTTGTAAGAGGTGTGCCTGCCAGTGGGTGGAGTGTTCTGCAGTGACTCAGTGCTCTGCATACTGTATGCACACATTCACATACCTGAGATCTCACCTGTACACCTGGAAAGGATCAGCGCAGTCACATACAGGTAAGGGACAATAATAAGAACTGAGGCTTGCAAAAGAACTGAAAAAAATAAACCGAAGCAATGGAGCTAGGTATAGGAAGTTCATTTTGTTTCATCATCATATGTTGCTCTGTGCCAAGATATACAGGAACGCCATGAACATAATTCGAAATATAGTTGTTTGCAGAGATGATCCTTATTCAGTTACAGTTGGTTGTATGATCATTGTATATTGTGTAGGCTTAAGAGTAACATATGGAAAGGGAGAGTCTATTTTAGCTGTCATTTCAGGATCTCTTAACATGTACCCTCTGGTAACACCTCACCTGTGTATTCAGCGCAGTCAGCCAGAGGGATCCCTTTTCCTGTTAATGTGGCATGCTGACAGGTGGAAGGCGTTCCTCTTCAGTGCTCGTGGAATAATCAAGCTAATGGGCCTTGTTCTTCTCAGCTTGCTACAACAACATATTGTAGTTGCTTTGGCCTTCCTGTCTGACATCAGCAACACCTTGTGTGAGTTAGACAAAAACAAAATTGTTTTCATCTCTGCTGCACAAAGACGCTGTCAGATTTGTCCAACAATTTAACTAAATGCTTGACTTTTGTGTGCTTTTAGCTTCTGAAAAGAGTGTGTATATGTCTGGTTAAAACAGATGGCCAGCAAAATAGTAGAAATGATGAATATAGATGCAGTTTTGTTAAAGTATTTAAAGAGAACCCGTCATAAGGCAAACATAGAGGATGCCATTAGGGACCTCTCTTTCTTAGAATGCTTGTTGTCATGCTGACTAGAGATGACCTGGGCATGGTGCAAACTCAGTTTTCCTGAGTTCGCCCAAGCCTGCTCAGACCTTTGACTGCCACTTTTTCTTCCGACCCAATTAGTGGTGGCAGTTGTAGCGAGGGCATTCTCAGCCCCTTTCTGTCTTATAGCTGCAGGGCTGGGAATGTGCCTTTCTGTAACTGAATGGGCCGGAAGAGTAGAGATGTTGGAAGTCACAGTTTTGAGTGGGCTTAGGCGTACTGGGTTTGCACCATTCAGAGGTATCCCATCGCACTCCAAACCAACGTATCCTCATGTGTAGCTTAAAACGGTGCTGAAATGGGCAACGGATGGCGCCATAAGACTAAGGCCTCGTTCACACCAGATGCGGTGCATTCTGGCCAGAACGCACTGCCTGGCATTGCGGCCGGCTCACTTTTTTCTGGGGCAGGAGGGGGCGTGGTGGTTCATTGAAGTGAATGGCACCGCAAGTACTATTTTGATCGGACCGGACCACAGGCATAACGAGGCCTAAAGTAGATAATAAGGCCACCAGCACACCAAGGTCCACTTCATCCATCCGTTTTTTATTGATGTTTAGATAAACATGGTGTCACAAGCAAATGCAATGCTTCGGAACCACATGCAGTCCCTTCATCAGGCAAAGCAATGACATGGGTTTGCACCAAGCTCAGGCTCAACACCAGTGGTGTCGCTACAGGGGTGTAAGGAGGGGGCAATTGCCTCCCCCCTAGGTTATCGTGTGCCCCCCCCGCTAACAGTGGGCAGCAGTCCCGGCGCTAGCGCAAGGCAAGAGAAATGGAATCTCTGTCCCAGCAGATAACTGTGCCCGGGACAATTATCTGCTGGGACAGAGGCTCTCCCCGCTGCAGCCTCACAGACTGTCAGCGGTTTCTCCCTACAGGCTGTAGCGATCTGTGTCAGTGGGGACAGATTGTCGATTACAGCAGGGCAGTCTTTACCACAGGGCAAAACGGGCAGCTGCCCTGGGCCCCATAAGTTACAGGGGCCCATAGCAGCTGTCCCTTTCATCTGCAGCGGCAGGCAGGAGCAGCGACACCGCTGGTAGCAGGGGCGGACTGGGCTAGGGGACTGCCGGCATGTTGACAGCCAGGAACGGTGTTAGCTTAGCCCAAGGGGGGCGGTAATTGGCAGGTGATAGAGAAGAGCAGCCGGGCGGCCCAAACAGCGGACGATGAAGTTGCTGGTAAGTGCTGGGATTGGCCGGAGCTGTGCTCTTCTCTGCAGCTCCAGAGAGTGGAGCGCCTGACCGGCAGAGGAGGAAGATGTTGCTGGGAATGCAAAGGGGAGCCCAGCTTGGGAGGAGGGGAGGAAGATGCTGGTTGTCCTGTTGAGTGTATTGCGTTGCAGAGTCCCAAGCCCATTGCGTTAAGGGAGGGTGGTGGGGGACCTTTAGCAAAATCTTGCCCAGGGCCCAATAATATTAAAGATGGCCCTGGATTACAGCCTGTAAAGGAGAACCCTCCGACAGTCTACTCACTCACACCAACCCGCCCGTCTACAGACCTCTCCGCGGCCTCTGCGATCGTCTTCATTCCAGCAGCTGACAGGTAACAATTCTCTATGCTCTAACACATCTGACATAAGTGATGCTCAATTCAAGCCTTACGATCGTATCTGTGGTAAACTTTTAAATAAATAAAAATGTGAAACAAATAAAAAAATAAAAAAGGTAGAAATGTAAAAAAATTAGGTTTAATAAAAAAAATAAAAAAAAAGTTTAAAAAATAAAAAATGGTTGCGGTATTCAGGATTGTGGGCGGCGTTGTACTACATGTCGGAACCGCAGGGCGCAGATGCCATCAGCAATTAAATCAGCCCTCTGCGCCCTGCTGTTGCGACATGCAATGAAAATTATTAGTGCCCCCCCCAGATTTGACTGCAGTATCTTAAGTGCCCCCCTTATATATTGTTCCTAGAGTCGCCACTGCTCAACACTGATGCTGACTCTCTTGCCTCCATATTTTTTTCTAAGCAAGTATTCAAATAAAAGATTTGCATGCAGTGATCCAAAAAGCCAGCAAAACAGCAAAGCAAAACCCCCCATGACAGGTTTACTTTAAAAGGGGTTCCTCATTGTTGGTTTACAAGCCTAACATAGTTCACCATACACATTACATTACTGTACAATTTTCTTTAGCTCTACCAGCAACTATGTAGTGCAAGGGTCTGCCTTATTGGATACAAATTAAATGGATTGTTTAGGTAGGCCCTTGTATTACATAGTTATGGTAAATCTACGGGAAGTTGTACCGTCAGATTGTATCTTGTATGATAAATGTAAGGCCCCATTCACACTTGAGCGCTACAACGCTCAACAGGAGTAATCCCATTGCTTTCAATGGTCCCCCATTCACATCTGAGCATTCTGTTCCTTCCAGCAAAACTCCTGTAGCTCAAATATAAACTTCAATCAAAAATAACTTCAATATGAGTGCCTGGAAAATGTGGAAAAAATACATGTAACGTTTTCATATGTGTAACTAGCTTTTGTTTGTGTAAAAATAATAGATAAAAAACAATGAAGCCTAAAATGCTAGCAAAACTGCCTGTGCAAAATAACGCTCAAAATAATAACCAAAGATGCTCTGCCCAAGTGTAAATAGGGCCTAATTTAGCATTTACACAGATGAGCTCAATGCTTCACCTCAGTTTCCAGTTTAATCAGATAAGAAAAAGCTAAAAACACAGAAGGAAAATATAAACAGTGCAATAAACAATGGGCAGCTGCATCCGTCTGCTATGTGTCATAGCCCTGACAGTAGGTTCAGTAAGGAAGCTTTACTACATTTCACTGTCAGTTGCTATTGCCTTGCTTCTAACTGATGTAACAAAACACATCAAAAGATAAACAGCTCCATGCTAGGCCAAGGGGAAGTTAGCAGAAACAGTTATCTTTTCAGCATTGGAGCCATGCTCAATGTAAAGCTTCCCTTTATCTGGGTTCTTGTATGCTCTGTATCTTCCAGGTTAAATGTATATTAACATTAATAGTTACTTCATTTATGTTTTGTTCTATTTCAATCAAAAATGGGAGACAGGTATAGCTGTAAATTAAGAGGGAATAGTTTCCTTTCTTATTGCTGACGCTGCCAGAACAATGCTCCATTCAGGAAAAATTCTGCTTAAGCAGACATCCCAACTCTCCTGGACGCTCCCGGCCACACGGGACAGAAACTTTCTCCCAGAAAGGTTTACTCTGCTCGATCGAGCAGAGTAAACTTTTCCCTGCTCTGTTTTTTTTTCTGACATTGGACCCGCCGGCTGCCGTCAGTCAGAAAAAAAAAAAGACCAGCATCGGAATGCGTAGCTAGATTGCTATTGGCTATTTCACTTTGCAATATCCAATAGCAAACTAGCTATTGCACCCGCCCACTGCTGCTGTCAATCAGCAGAGGGGTACCTGAAGTTCTCCATCAGGTCCTCTTCTAGTGATCGACAGCAGCAGAGGGCTTGTGCAATAGCCAGCTTGTTATTGGATATTGCAAATTGAAATAGCCAATAGCAATCTAGCTATGCATTCCTATGCTGGTTTTCTTTTTATCCTGATGGCAGCAGCTGTCAGAATACTAAAAAAAAACCCTGCAGATAGCAAAGAAGCTATTGTTTCCTGTGCTATCTGCCATCATTTCAGGGGGGTGATCTTGGAGCGGTAGCTACTTTACAACACACACAGGGCCCATGGGGAAGAAAAGTAGCCACCCTCCAGAAGGAAGGACAGTGTCAGCACCAATTCAGGGATGATTTGAGCATCTACAGCTGAGATGCCGGGAAATACAGACGAGAAGTATGTGATCAGTCGGGGCACTGCAGTGAGATATTAATGATTTCGGGAAGACCCACTATATATATACAGGGCACGAGTTTCAGGGTCCCAGGCTGGGTGTCCCTCTGGTCCCCACTGTGAATGCATGTGTGCGCTATCCTGCTGGTTGCAGTAAAATGTGATTTGGTGTGTGACTATCGATATATATCTGTGCTAGTTTTGTGGAAGTGGCCCTATCTTCCTGAAGAAGCATAATAGTGTGAAATGCATTGAAGTCTGGACCTCTACTGATTACATTTGATGATGATTCTTGAAAAATAATTATCTCAACAATATGGGACAATATCTCTGATCAAGATGAAGTAGGTCTGGGGGGCACCTTATGTCTACTAATATACCGATGGTCAATATATTTGTTGGTTATCACAGCCAATGTTTTTTTTTATGACT